GGAAGAGAGAGGGGGGAGAGGGAGAGGGAGAGAGGAATTATTAAATACTTGGTGTTTACTAGGAGCCATGCTACATATACTTCACATATAAGATTCAAATTGATAGTCACACCAATTTATAGATATTGGCTGATCCTTAAAAATTCATTTGTAGCCATTGAAATGCTTTCTAAAATAAAATTTGAAATTAAAAACCCTCTCTAAGAAGTAATTGTAAATTACAAACTTTGTCTAACAAGTAATTGTAGAATTACTAGGTATTTCTGAGCAGGATTTGTCTTGAATGAAATATTTAAAATGCTGTATTGTGGTCTTTAAAGACAGCAAGGAATTTTTGACAAGCTCACCCAAGGAAAACTTGTGAAGTAAGCAGGTCTTAATTTTACCTTTTGATTATGGTGAATCAAAATTTCCGTTGAATAAGATTAGTTCAGTCTTCAGGCAATCAAGGGAAATGTGTGTAGTTAAAATATGTATTTACATGTAAAACACTTCAGAATTTCAGATTTCATAATCTGGAATTGATTAGTTTTCCCTTTGCCTTGCTACTATGAAGAAATGGCGGTACCTCCAAGCTATTTAAGTGAAGCTGCCACCCAGATACCCTTCTTTTCCCCCTCTACTCTGATTACTTTCTTAATTAATGAGGCTCAAAAGGGAAACTTGTTAGCATGTCTTTAATTTAGCTTGTAGTGTTAGCCCTAAATGAAATAATTGGACCTTTAAAAATTCTTAAGTCATCTAACTTTAGCCTTGTGATTCAAGGTTGCAAGGGAAAAAGGCTGATTCTAATGGTGGTAGGAGAGAGTCAGGAGAGAAATGGTCATACCTGGCTGAGGACTGGTATTCCTCTGTGTCTCTGCCTTGTTTAGGCCCCTTGGCTTGCAGTCTCCCTCTTGACTAAAGCTGACACTGTTACTTCAGCTCACTTTCAACTTCGCTTTACTTGTATATTTGATTTTTTGATCATAAATGATATTTTCATGGTGAGTAGAAAGATTTGGAGAGCCCAGGCTTGTGATACCAAGCAATATACAAACATTTCATAATTGCAGCTAGCCATGATCTGAGAAATGATGCTTTTTTCATTCTGATCTCAGGGAATCATTCCCTGAGAGCAGTGCATGAAGAGACATAGGTATGTCTCTGACATTTCTAGTACTTAAACATTTTAATGTAAAAGGGCTGCCATTGTTGCTGCTAGAGAGAAACACTGGTTCTGACAGAATAGACATTCACTGGGAATGATACAATTGAGAGAAAAAAGGATATTCTGAAACCCATGTGAGAATGGTGGATTTGTGGCATGGACGGGTTGCTCCACGCTGTGTCTGTTTTTTGCCCATCTGCTGGGGCATCGTGTCTAAATGCTGGTGTTTGCCTATATACCAGTAGCCTAACGTTTGTTAAATTTTGTAATTTCTGAAGAATTCAGAGTGAAACATGGCCCCTTAACAGTTTTAGTCTAGGTGAAAATTGTATTACATTTCCTGACACTCCTGTTTTGTAGCTGGTAGGAGTTTGGATAGAAGGAGCCCCTAAGGATCATTTTATCATTAGTTGGCATTTTAAGGAGTCAGGGTAAAGGCTCAGTCTTCAATTAGTGAAGAACGTAATAAAGTTATAGACAAATGGAATGTTTTATTGCATTGAATCTTTGTAGTAAATATTGTGGATACTTCTCAGATTATGAAGATGGATGTTCAGCCCCAAGTATTTAACCGAGGAGATAATAATCCTGCATGTTTATTAAACTTAGGAAAATACAGAGTAAGAATGAAAGGGGCAAATCCAGTCAAATAGAATCTTGGATTTTTGTTGTTGTTGTTGTTGTTGTTGTTTTGTGGGGGGGGGGGGGGGGGGGACTTATTTTTGTGGTCCAGTCTGTTTGGTGTCCTGTAAGCGTCTTGTACTTTCATAGGCATATCCTTCTGTAGGTTGGGGATGTTTTCTTCTATGATTGGAGCTGGAACCTTCCCCTCACTCTCCTCTCCCTGTCCTACTCTGCTCACTTCCTTTCTTTCTGTTCACCCCTCCCCTGCTTTTCTTCTGTTTTGATTTGGAGGAAGGTCTCTCTGTGTAGCCTTGTCTGGCTTGAAAGTCATTGTAGTCCAGACTGTCCTTAAACTCATTCAAATTCCCTGGCTTTTGGCTCCAAAGTTCTGGGGTTAAAGGCAAGCACCACCATGCACAGCTTGGTAGTCTTTATGCCATCTTGTTTCATTTCTACTGTGTATCAGCTGTTCTGGTGTTCCTCACCTGGCCATAG